AAGACAGGTTAGTTGCCAAGGGATTCACACAAGTAAAGTTTGAAAATATTTATGGTAAGAAATTGGATACACTCATCCTTGATAAAGGTGCAGAAGTTTGTAGTAATGAAATTAAACAGTTATTGTGTCAGGACCCAGAAGCTTTAATTAGAGCTAAACACAAGATAAGAGTACAAAACACAGCTTTATTGTACAAAAATAGTATTTCAAAGCACTTAACTTCAGTGCAAAGTGTCCCAGGAGTAATTTGGCATCAAAAACAAAGTGATACCAGTAACAAAAATATAATCCGGATTAAACTCAAGGTTAAGCAATTCGCTGGAAAGTTGGTGGAGCACAAAAACACAGTCACAGAAATGGAAAAACGAAGTCCCAAAACAAGGAGTTGTTCTAGCACAAAGTTATTAAAGTTCAAAGTCCAGAAAGCCAAAAGCGTTGGTCAAACCGTTCCGTAGTCAAGCCGTTGGTAAACAAACACTGGAATGCAGGAATCACCGAGGAGCAGGAAAACAGGAACACGCGAAGCTGCAGCCCAGGACCCAAATTCAAGAGTTGGCAGTACAGAGTTCTGTCCAATAAAGACGCTTTGCCTTCTGCAAAATAACATGCCCACAGACCCCACTTTTATCTCAAAGTTCCTCCTCAGAGCTTGATGAGCTCCCCACCCTTTCCTCATCGCTCTCAGCTGCCTCCATCCCCGCAGCTGAGTGCCCATCCCTCCAGCTCTGCCAGCGTCTGCTAAGGCTCAGATCCTGCCAAGAAGTCCCTGGCTGCCAATCCTCAGTGAACCCCTCAAATTCCTCACTAGAGGTGGGTTGATTACAAATGTCTCTTATTTGTTGCACATGGGTCCAATCTAATTCCTCCTCCTCCATATCACTCCCAGATCCAGAACTCCTTTCAAACCCCAGGAAATCCTCTTCATCTGTTGGTGCACTAAGTATTTCCCGAATGCGCTTCCTTTGTAATTTCCCTTCAGACTCTGGGTTGCGAGCAGCCCTCTTTACACCTCTGCTCTCCTCCCCATCCCCTATTTCACAATCCGAGAAGCCTTGAAACGTATCAGTATCACTTGGGGCCATAATGATTTCCCTAATGCGCTTTCGCTGTTGTTCTCCCTCCGACTCCTGAGCAGACCTTTTCTCCCTGCTACCAGGAGTAGCAACGCTACCAACACGCTGAACTACAACATATTGAGATCTGGAAGCATTGAATGTATGGAAACTGAACAATTTAAAAATGAGGAAGGGATTGCAGAGAAGAGAATGCAATTTCTGAATGAAATGAAGACATGCATTTTAAAAAATAGTCGTGTTTCTAGTGGTTATTGGCCTGGAGTGCTACATACCTGCAATTACCTAACCAACAGATTATGGAATGAATGCATACAGGACATACCATTTCGAAAGATGTATAGTTATGTTTCAAATTATAAATTTTTACGGATATTTGGTCAGAAAGCTAATGTGCTCATTTCTGCGAAAGAGAGAACCCAAAAACGGCAAAGATATAGAGAAATGGCATTCGTTGGATATAGTATAAGTTTCTAGATACACCCAAGACCATAAAAATAGCTAAAATTGCTTATTTTGAGAGACCTAAAGACTGGAGTGAAATTCATTCTAATGCAGAACATTTGCATGGTTTTCCAAAAGCTAGAGACATTGTTTTAGGTGAAGAGAGTAAAGTAACATCTAGTGATACTCGTTCATCTTTCTTACTTCGGTGTCTTTTGTCTTGTTCCTGTCTTTTTGGTTGGATGTCAATGCGAATGTGTGCTGTATATTTGCTCTACTCAGTAAACCTATACGTTTGCGTTTACTGAAGTCTCAAAGTGTCCATTCTTCTAAGCTTCAAAGCTTCTGTCGCACTCTGACAGAAGCACTTCCTTCCCTCCCTCCTTTCTTCATCCCCCTCCTTTCTTTCCCTCCTTCTTTCATTCTCCTTCCTCCCTCCCTCCCTTCCTGTCCCTCCTTCTTTCTTTTCCTTCCTTCCTGTCCCTCCTTCCTCCCTCCTTCCTTTCCTTCTTTCTAAGATATAAATACAATATTAAATGGAAGGGACAGTCAAGAAGTAACGAGAGAAGGAGGGAAAAAGGGAAGGAAGGACGGAGAGAAGCAGGGAGGGGAAAAAGGAAAGAAAGAAAGAGAAGCAAGGAAGGAGAGAAGGAAATGAAAAAGTGAAAGGAAAAAGAGGGGGAAGGAAGGAGAGAAGGAACAAAAGATAGGGAAGGAAGGATGTAACCAAAGAGCAAAAAAAGGGAGGAAAGAAACAGGTACAGATGGAAGAAAGATGAGAGATAGGGAAAGAAAAAGAGGAAAGGAAGGAAAGAGGGAAGGAAGGACAGAAAGAGGGAGG